AGGCCATTCATATGCAAAAGCCTCTGTGCACAGCTTGGGTGGGGCGGGGTCTTAGGGGATCAACAGGGCGGAGCAAGCAGCTATGGCTGCTCCTCAGTCCTACCCTAAGAGGCCCCGAGTCTCAGTGTCCCGGTAATCACTGCATTCACCTCTGAGAGAAAGCCGCCCTTGCGTTCGAACCGATGCCAGACAGTCCAGTTTCTCCCCGTATGAGTCTGGGTCCCTAGAGACTCGCCCGGAACTGGAGTTCAGAGCAGTAGGGAGCTTGAGACTCCCTCCGGATTGTAAAAGACAATCATGTACTCAGTTGCCAGCCCTTTCCACGTGCGCCTCCGTACCTCTGCACTTTACTTCCGCACCTCCTCTGAGTCTCAGTGTGCTTTTCTCTTTCCTTCTAGTTGTAGAATTTCCATTCAGCCAGCCTTCCTGTGGTTCTAGATGATGTCTGTTTTGTCTTTTATTTTTATTTTTGAAGTGGTTGGGCAAGGAAGCAATTTCCGGTGTTTACCTATGCCGCCATCTTTGTTTCTCCCGATGCTGAGTTTTTAGATAGGAAATCAGTAGTTGCTTTTGAACTTAGTGGTCTGAATTTTCTTAATAGCTAACTCTGGAAACATGATTTATTTTATATCTATGTAGATAGTTTATCAAGGCTACTAATAAGTATGCTTACATTATTATTTATGTTTAACTCCATAATATACTTAGTTAATATTTATTTCCCTAACCCCTCCCCTTGTGTTTTTTTCTTTGATTTTAGGATCATCATGCCCAGAGTTCATAACATAAAAAAGCCTCTTACATCTCAGATTTCTTGTTTGACAAGTGAATCTTATGAACAGCTGGATTTTTTGCCTGATAAACTAAGAGCAAAGCTTCTTCCTTTTCAGAAAGAAGGCATCGCTTTTGCCCTTCAAAGAGATGGCAGGTAAGGCACTTTTTTCAAGACATGCTACAAATCGTTCATAACATAAAAAAGCCTCTTACATCTCAGATTTCTTGTTTGACAAGTGAATCTTATGAACAGCTGGATTTTTTGCCTGATAAACTAAGAGCAAAGCTGCTTCCTTTTCAGAAAGAAGGCATCGCTTTGCCCTTAAAAGAAATGGCAGGTAAGGTACTTTTTTCAAGACACGCTACAAATGTTGGTTGGCATACAATTCTACATTGATAGTAATTTTTTAGCACTTTGAAAGTTGTAGTCTGCTGTTTTCTGGTTTCCACAGTTGCCATTAAAAGTACGCTCCCAAGTCTCAAAATATTACCCTACAGGTGACTTATGAATTACAAAGGGAAAAATTACAAAATGGATAATGTTAGACAGGCATAATGTGGTGCACGGAAGGTGTATAGCATTCCTTAGTGGTGTTCTTCCTGGAAATACTTGACCTTATGATCATAAGGAGGCAGTCAAACCAGTTCAGAATGTGGGACATTTTTTCAGGACAACTGACCTGAACTCTTCATATGATTCAGTGTCAGGAGTGAGAATGTTCTAAACTGAGAGATAATGAAGAGCTACAATATCTGAAAGTAAAGCATACATTTTGATTAGGTCCTGAATAAGTACAACAGTAAACTTTGGAGGACATTTTTTAGATAACTGAGACACTTTTATCTGGACTCTATTAGAGTGATGGTATTGAATTAATGTTGATTATGTTAGATGAGGTAATGGTGTTGTAGTTGAATAGAATGTTCTTGTTCCTGGGATGATAAAGAATTTTGGGGTGAAGAATCCTGCTATTTGCAGCTTAGTTTCTACATTTTTCAAAAAAGTAAAGGACATGTGTCTGTTTCGAAAAACTTTGAGTGTGTCAGCCAAAATGTTAACAGAGTGAATCTGGTAAGTGGTATAAGTATGTTTCATTATATTATTTTTTGGCTTTTCCACGAGTTTGAAAAATTTCTAAACCAAACCAAACCAATCCCCCACCCCCCACACACACCACCACACACACACACAAAAAACAATCAGTCTAATTTTCATTCCTTTGTAAATCATTTGTTTTTATCTGTATCTGATTTTAAGATTTTAACTTTGTTTTTGGAGTTCTGTAGTTTTACAATAATTTACTCAGTATTTTTTTAAATAATCCTGCCTGGAATTATAGTGCAGGATTATATATATATATTTATTGATTTCAGAGAGGAAGGGAGAGAGAGATAGAAACATCAATGGGGAGAGAGAATCATTGATTGAAAATATATATATTTTTTTTATTGATTTCAGAGAGGAAGGGAGAGAGAGATAGAAACATCAATGGGGAGAGAGAATCATTGATTGGCTGCCTCCTGCACGCCCCTCCCTGGGGACCGAGCCTGGAATCTGGGCATGTGTCCTTGACTGGAATCGAACCCTGGACCGTTCAGTCCGCAGGCTGATGCTCTATCTACTGAGCCAAACCGGCTAGGGCGAATTATAGTGCATTTTAATCTGGGATTTGTATCATAGGCTGCCTCCTGCACGCCCCTTACTGGGGACCGAGCCCGGAATCTGGGCATGTGCTCTTGACTGGAATCGAACCCTGGACCGTTCAGTGTGCAGGCTGATGCTCTATCTACTGAGCCAAAGCGGCTAGGCGAATTATAGTGCATTTTATTCTGGGATTTGTATCATGTTAATTCTGGAAAATTCTCAGCTATTATCTCTTCAAATATTGATTCTTATCCATTCTCTTTATTATCTTCTGCAATTTCAATTAGATTTATAACTGACCTTTTTACTCTATTGTATACTTTTATTAATCTTTCTTATATTTTCTGTTTGTGCTACATTATATCTGTTTTTAAAGATCTCCCTTATTGTTCATTACTCAGTTGTTCTAATCTGCTGTTTAACTCACCTACTCAGCTTGTAAAAAACTGAGAAAAGTGTGCAGATCATTAGTGTACAACTTGAAGAATTTTCACAGTAGAGCCATCACCAAGATCAAGAAAGGGAATTACATTGCCAGCATCCCCGAAATCTTCCTCTTGCCCCTCCCAATCACTATTACCTCCCTCCCCTCCAAGGGCCACCACAGTCCTGACCTCTAACACTATAAATTACTTTTACGTGTTCAACTATATAATTGTAATCATCCATGTATATACTTTTTTGTGTCTGGCTTCTTTCACTCAACATCATTGTGAGATCCTTTTATATTGTTGTATGTGTTTATACTTGGTTTATCCCCATTGCTATATAAAATTCCACTGTGTAAATATACCATGATTTATTTATTGATTCTACTGTTGGTGAGCATTTAGGTTGTTTCTAGTGTGGGGCTTTTAGAAAAACAATGCTATGAACATTTTTATATAAATCTTTTGTTAAATATGGATACATTCCTCTTGTGTATATACCAAGAAGAGAAATTGTTGGGTAAAAAAATGTGCATATATTCCACTAAGTAGCTACTGTCTGTATTAGTTTGCCCGGTCTGTCTTAATGAAGTACCTCAACTAGGTGGCTTAAGGAACAGAAATTTATTGTCTCACAGTTCTTGAGGCTAGAAGTTGGCTCTTTGCATTGCCTGTAAATTATAGAAATCATTATCAATTTTCACACAAAAAAGTTTCTGGGATTGTGCATGGGGTTGTTTTGCATCTATAGTTCAGTTTGGGAAGAATTGATATATTTATAATATAGAGTATTTTAAAAGTATTTTAATCCATGAATGTGAATTCTTCCATTGCTCTCCATTTATTTTCATCTCAATGATTCCTCCTTTTATTTAATTTAAATAAGGTTTTATGGTTTTTAGTGTATAGTTCTTTTACATATATCATTAAATTTATTCTTAGGTATTTAATATATTTGATGCTATTACAATATGTCCTCCCAACCCCTCTTTATAAGTATTTTAATCCATGAATGTGAATTCTTCCATTGCTCTCCATTTATTTTCATCTCAATGATTCCTCCTTTTATTTAATTTAAATAAGGTTTTACGGTTTTTAGTGTATAGTTCTTTTACATATATCATTAAATTTATTCTTAGGTATTTAATATATTTGATGCTATTACAATATGTCCTCCCAACCCTCTTTATTTATTTATTTTTTTTAAGGTTTTCTCTTTGTTTGGCCATCCAAAAATTTTATTATAATATGCCTACGTGTGGTTTTCTTTGTATTTATAGCTTAATCTGTGAGTAGATGCCATTCATTAATTCTAGAAAATTCTTATTTGCTGTCTCTTCAGGTATTATTTTGCCCCATTTTTTTCTACTCCTTAATCTCCAGTTATAACTATATTAGACCTTTTCTTGGTGTCCCAGTATCTCTTACCTTCTTTTTCATAATTTTTTAATTTTAAAAATTTTTGTGGCTCAGTTGGATATTTTTTGTTTACCCATATTCTTATTTACCAATCCTATCATTTGCTGTTTAAAAAATCTATTAAATTCTTTTAAGGAAGAGACCACCACTCACAATACCTGAAACCAAAACCTGTTCAATATGTCTGAAACAAAGAAGCTGAATTTATTACTTGCCAAACAAGGGAGAACTGGGCTTGTTAGACAGTCTCTTTAAACAAAGCAAAGAGTTGGTATTGTATCAGGCTTTGGGGAAGTCTGGAGACTTTTAAAAAGCTGGAGAGTTTCAGGATTTGCTGAATGTCAGAGTATAGTTTAGGGATTTGTTGACTAATATCAAAGAACAGTCAGTCCTTTCCTTTCTTGTAATTGGAGAATAGGAACATTTTATTTTCTGTTCTTGATGTCATATAGTGTATTTTTAAGTCCTAGCATATCCAGTTCCTGTCTACCTGGTTATGTTGATAGTATTCTATTTCTCGCCATGCTTTAATTTTCTTATTTGTATAAATATTTACAACATACTTACTTTATATATCTGAAGTCCTTTGGAAGCTAATTTTGCTTTTTGTTGTTCATGATGATGGTTTATTTCCCAATGTATTTTCTAATTTTTAAAAAATTTTGTTTTAGTAATTAGATAATCTTAATCTCTGGGAATCTTGAAGAGACCTAACGAGTTGGGTAAATTGTTTTAGGGAGGATTTGTAAAGTAAGTTCCTAGTTTAGGGTTTCCCAGGTCAGATAGGCAGTTTAAATTCAAAACCCCAAATTCATTTTCAGATAGGCTTATGATTATGAATTGTGATGATTAATTTTCACCTCATGCTAAACTTTAAGTTTCCTTAGGGGCTTTATAAAAATGAGGTGTAATTAAATTTAATGAAATGCACAGGGTTAGGTGTACAGTTCAATGGATTCTAATACAAGAGTATATATGTGTGTTTTCAAGCACCTCAGTCAAGATAAAGTACACTTTCATTATCCAGAATAGGCCTCTTTCTAATCAACCCCATCCCCCTAAATTAGGCAACCACTGATCTGATATCTATCACTTCTATTTGGAAATAACTCCAATATTTAGAAAAAGTTATTCTATAAAATATAGCCATACTTATCAAATTCAGGAAATTTAGCTTCTATATAATACTTTAATCTACATATATGTTGTCAGTTGTACCAGTAATATCTTTTGTAAGCATTTTTTTAGCCCAAGGTTCAGTCCAGGATCACTTATTATATTTAATGACATCTCTTTGTTTCCTTTAATGTAGGGACAGATCCTTAGCCTTTCATGACACTGGCATGTTTTAAAAGAATATAGGCCAGTTTGCCCAGCCAGTGTGTCTAAGTGGTTGAGCATCAACCTATGAACCAGGAGGTCATGGTTCGATTCTTTGTCAGGGCACATGCCCAGGTTGCAGGCTCGATCCCCAGTGTGGGGCGTGTAGTAAGCAGCTGATTGATGATTCTCTCTCATCATTGATGTTTTTGTCTCTCTCTCATCTCCCTTTCTCTCTGAAATCAATAAAAATATTAAAATATATATATATATAGTCCAGTTTATTTTATAGAATGTGTCTCAAATTTTTAAGCTTTATCAAGATAGTATTTAGATTATGCAGTCCTTGCTGGATTAGTACATAACTGAGAGCTAAGTTCTGTTCTTCTCAGGACATTGCTTTTGAAGGCACACTGTATCTGTCAGCCTCTTCCTGTTAATGTTAATTTTGATTACTTGTCAAAGTGTTATGGTTTCTCTACCATATAGTTATTCTTTTGCTATGGTAAAATTGTTGCTTACTTAA